GAAATTTGTTTATTTTAAATACATTTCTTTCCATTTCATTTATAACGACTTTGGCTATTTTCATAAGTGTTTTAGGAATGTTGGTAATGGTAAAAATTAGAAAAAAATCAAGTTTGCACCCATGAGTAACAGTAAAGAAAGTAGAAAAACAACAACATAATATAATGGCGTGATGGTCTCACTCCAAGAAGATTGTCAGTTGTGTGTTTGCGTGCAGGCACTGATAGAGAAGGACTGGCTCTCGTTCGGGCACAAGTTCGCGGCGCGCTGCGGGCACGTGGCGGGAGACAGTCGCGAGCGCGCGCCAGTCTTCACGCAGCTGCTCGACTGCACCTGGCAGCTGTTCCGACAGGCGCCGCAGGTACACCCCACCCCCACCCCCACCCCCACACACACATACACACACTGAACTCGCTATAAGATGTGATATTTTGTGCTTATTCGATTTTCAGCATAGCTCTAAATGTAGTGGTTTGTAGCAGTGGTGTAGATTTGAAGTAATGTAGATAGAATCAAATGTCAAGTAATATCAACATGCGCGTTTAAATCAGAACTATGCAAAAGCTGTCATTTCCAAGCAATCGCCTATCCATTTATAGAGGTCAGCGGTCACACTACACACTAACTGAAGTACTGACTATACTCATCTATAAATCAGCTCTGAACCGGTTCAAACGTCAGCAGCTCACATAATATTGATTCATTGAGTTGCAGCTCAACAAATAAATTGTCAACTTATCGCGATGTACTATAAGTATGTGAGTCGATGAGTCCCTTGCTGCCAGGTATCGTCACTCAATACAGGTATAAATAGAGCTCAGCTCTGAACCGAGTCACTGATCATCTTCACACATGTGAGCTGTGAGCTGATCTGCAAGTCATCAATTTCAGTGAATACACAGACAAAATACATTGACTGATATAGGTACTGACTGTTTAATTTACAACGTTTTAATCATATTTAATCATTTTTCTTTGACTTCCAGGCGTTTCAGTTCAATGAGAGGTTTTTGCTGACGCTACACGACCACGCACACGCCTGTCAGTACGGCACATTTATTGGCAACTGTCAAAAAGATAGACGAGATCTCAGGTAAGTTAATCTGAAATAAGGAACTTAGTGATTGACTTTGTTAGGAAAGTTGGTTGCTAGCTTCATCCGTTGGCGCTAGTGTGCTTCGTTATTAGCACACTAGCGCCATCGCTTTTGTAGAATGAAATAATTTTATCTGTAACTTTATCAGGTTGTCGGAGCGTACGTTCTCGTTGTGGGGCTACATGGCGAGTCATCTGAGCGAGTACAAGAACCCACTGTACAACCCCAAGGCTCACCCTGACCTGCTCAAACCTGACCTTAGCGCACAGAGTATACGGTAATTATTTTAAACTAACGCAATGGGTTTAGGACAGATGACCTCGAGCCACCAAAAAGGTTGAAAACCACCAAAAAGGTTGAAAACTATCAAAAAAGTTGAAAACCGCTAAAAAGGTTGAAACCACCAATAAATTGTGTAGTGCATTTTTTATAACTAGATAACTGTCATGACTTCCTCTGCTCTGAAATTAACTTAATTAGTTGTCTAGGTTTTTTTCTAGACTATGTTGCCATGTCAAACATCAAAATCCGTTGGGACGTTCTGCAAATCTTTCTAACAAATATCCATCCATACATCCAAACATTCGCATTTATAATATAAGATATGCATAGTTTCTGGCGCGGCATGTACTGCCGGCACGAGGGCGGCGTGCACCCGCGCGAGCCGCTCGCCGACCTGCTGCCTGCTGTCGTGCAGCACGCCTCCGCACTCGACTACCACATCAACTACCTCGCCAAGGTAACACAATAAACACCATACATGTAGGGTGAACACGACACAAGTACGGTACAGAGCATCTAGGCAGGAAAACGAACACGACAGGGTAGGGCAATCAACACGATACAAGTAGGATAAAGAGCATACCAAGGTATAGCAATGTACACGACAGGGTAGGGCAAGGAACACAACAGGGTAGGACAATCAACACGACACAAGTTGAGTAAAGAACACGACAGGGTAGGATAATGAATACGCCTACAATACCACTGCTAACTAAATGTTACTAGGTACTGAGTTTAACTGTTTATTTGACCAACAAAGTTCCCTACATTTTTTTATAATCCAAGTGTAAACTATTACTAAGTATTAATAATTAATATTTTCATATAGAGAATTTCGACGTTCAAGAATCTTCTGTCCGGTAGAAGAACAGAAAAGAGCAGAGAGAAAGACGCGGTTGTCAACTATCAGAACGGTGACATTGACACTGTTGACATTGACACTAAAACTGAAGCTCTGCAGATTGACAACAAGTATGTATGGTACATTTGACCACATCATCTCTTAATCAAGTGGAATCGTGAAGCGCTTGCTTATTCAATATTAATAATTTATGTCTTTTCATAGTCACAGTTTGTTGTGGGTCACAGAATGTGTCTGAGGGGTTAAACAGTTGACTTGTCTTCAAGTCCTAGGTGAAGGAAAACATCCTGATGCAGATATCTGTGCAGAAATACAAAATGTGTGAAGTCAACCTACACTATGGTTGACCATAGTCAAGGTCATAACCTAGTCACTGACCTAGGCAGGCTCTGAGCCTCTCAGTGGGAACGTATAGTGAGCTGATGATGTTGTAGTTGTCTTTGTTTTGTCAAAGAGAATGTAAGGGATGGAATATGCTTTATTACAAATTACAAATGGTTTCTCCAATATCTTACGCAGATTACTATATGAGTCAAGTGGCGGCCTCTCGGAGCTAGAGTGCGCTAACCACGACCACCCTCTCAAGGAAGCTGCACCTGCGCACAAGCCCACCAACATACCGCTTATCACTGAGGTATGTTAAATACTAGCTGTTGCCCGCGACTCCGTCCACGTGGTATTATAATTAGTAGCCTATGTTTTCTTTCTGACTATATTCTACACATAGGCCAAATTTCATCAAGATCCCTTAATCCATTTTGGAGATACTTCGTAACAAACATCCATCCATTTAAACATTCGCATTTATAATATTAGTAATTGTATGACTACGAATTAATTATAAATATAATTTAAATTGCCATTTTAGAAAAATACAGATGACATTTAGTTTCAATGATGTCGCCACTATCGCTGTTTCGTTAGCACACTAGCGCCACTAACACGTTATGTTTTTTTTTCTTTTCTCTCTTGGCTTTCAACACGCTATGTACCAGAGGGTGGAGGATTCAGTCCCGGCAAGTTTAGCAGCACTGGAAAGCGAGGTGCACTCGGTGGCACTGGACTGGAAGAGTCTGAAGAACGTCACCGAGTGCAGCTGCTCCACGCCGCTGGATCACTACAGCAGGAAGGTAAGAAAGTTTGTCTTATGGGTTGTATTGTTACTTTTCAAAGTGTTACTACATTAGTTGTTTTGTGTGTGTCAGCACCATTGTTGGGGCTGCGGGCGCTGCGTGTGCACGCGCTGTGTGTGTCGGCGCGCCCCGCTGCCAGGCCTCGCCGCACCGAGACAGGCACCGCTCTGTGCCGCATGCGCACCCACCACACCTGGTACTCACCCCCAACCCCCACCCCCACACACACACACACACACTGTCGTACAATACATCATCAGCTCACTATACGTCCACACTGAGGGGATCGGTGCCTACTCTAAGTTAGAAGTGAATAGGCCATAGTCAACCACGCTGGCCCAGTGCGTGTTTACTTCACACATATCTGTGAATTACTTGTCAGATATGTATCATCACGATGTTTTCCTTCACAACAAGAGGGTCGTATATAAATGTACATATGTAAATCGAAAACACATTGGTACATGCCGGGATCGAACCCAGGACCTGCAGATTACAAGTCAAGTGCTAAACCGCTTAACCACCGATACTTTTACATCTATAAGACACAATGACATAAATCTACACCTCAGTTGATGTTGACAGTAAAATTTCGTAATGCATTTTAAACGCATTTGTAATATCTTTTTCAGATGTGGTAACACCAGCTAATTAGAAAATACTAGAAAAGATGATAAAAAAGAAAAAAATATAAAAGCTACAAAGTATTTTTAACATTAGTAAAAGTGTAAATATTTATTTAAGGTTAATTGCATTTATTTTTTAGTCAAATAAAATATATGACTCTTTAGAAATAAAAAAAAAATCATATTTCGGACGTATTTTACTTTAATACTATTTATAATATGTTCGAATAAGTTTCTTATCGATGCTTGCTTTAATAAACCTAATATTATACGCGAAATAACAAAACATAATTCAAAAATATACCAAGATGGAGGCTTATCATTATTGCTGTCAAGGTTCATTTCGACATAGTTCGAATCGTACGAACATCACTCGGCAGTCGTGTCAGAGCGAGACAAACATATGGGAAAGTCTTTTGTCTCACTCTGACGTGACTGCCGAGTAATGTTCGTAAGATTCCGCACTGTCTAAACGAACCTTAACACTTACACATATTGTCGTCCTTTACATTCTGCTTGAAAGAAAAGAGACAGCAATATCAGTCAAGCAGACGAGCTGTTTTACTGATCCTAGTTTTTTAGTGTAGAGTTATGACGTCACAATATGGCGCGAGTTCTAGCACATGATAATTTGTAAAGTTATTATATTCTAAGATAACTTTGATTTATAAAAATGAAACAATGCAAAACACATAATAAATTTAAAAAATATTTTTAATGTCCATTTTCATGCTTTGGACTGCTTCTTTCGTCTTTTGTACTATTTATATAAGTTGTATAGTTCAAAATATTTAATTTCTAAATGTTTTGTATATATTGAATTTCAAATTAAGAATATGTTAAATAAAGTATTATTTTAAGGTAATTTTGCTTTAATTTTATTTCTTTGATAACCTATAAATTCTTTTAGTTTTTAAATTTGCGCGCGAAAAAACCATAAAACGTTATCAAATTAATTCGTTAACAAGCAATTTGTCGTTACACACTTTGTTAAAGTTCTTTCTTATTTATAACATTTCGTAAAATGAAGTACACAGGAGTGTTTGTACTTACTTTATTTACAGCGGTTCTTTGTAATGAACAAAAAAGTAAAACTCAAGAAAAAGGCGACATTGGTTTGGATACAGTACATAATATTAAAATAGACAAGAATACGGTTATTTCCCGAAATCTGAAACTGGAAAGGAAGGATAGACGAAATGGTATTTTTAATACTTCTTTAAGGTCTTATTTTCAGCTTAATTTAAATACGAATGTTCTGATGGATGTTTGTTAGAAGGTATCTCTAAAACGGCTGCTTGGATCTTGACGAAATTTTGAATATATGTAGAACATAATCTGGGAAACTCATAGGCTACTATTTTTTTTAATACAGCGCGGATGAAGTCACCACCTCACATAAATTAGTAGGTTCAGTAACTACAGTTTGTCATACGTTTTTTTTTATAAAAAAAGTTCGTAAGTCATTTATAACATTAGAAAACCCGCTCTTAATTTGAGTGACATGCAAAAATAGTCGAAATAAAATACTTAATAAGCAGTCATATTCAAAACTAAGATCTAAACAACTTTAACATGCGAATCCTTTTTTTTTAATTTTTAAACATAGCTAAAACAAAGCAAGAAGAAAAAGAACTACACTGGTCGTATAGTGGTTTCCCTAACGAAGTGTCTCCCCATGTTGAACAATTCAGAAGGAATATGACGGAATGTTTGAAAGAAGTCGAAGCTAAAGAGAAGAAAACAGTAAGAAGATTATCACCAAAGAAAGACTCTCCCATACACGGAGAATGTCTTATCGCTTGCGTTTTGAAACGTAATGGAGTTATTAACAAAGGAAAAATTGTTAAAGGTAAACATCGAATTACGGTTCGTTTTCACTGTCGCATTTATAAAAACATATTTTCCTCACAAGTTTCACACACAAACAGTGGTTAAGCCCGCAAATTATTCAACGGCTCATTCAGAGAAATACCACGACTACATAGAAGACACGCCTTAACAGTCATTGTGGAAGCCTAATTCTAGTTCTCTTCCGCTTCCCACTCTTTTCTTACAAAAAAAGTTGTGTGAATTAGGCGGTGAAGGAAATATACGGGATAGATGTTCTGGCATCCCCTCTTCGTCTCCTCCTCTGTTGATGAACATTAAGGTTAGGCAATGCGAAATAAGGTAGCACTTTTCTCGTTTGTAACCTTATACAATAAAAGCTTTACGGTTAGTAGATGAATGAAAGTTGTTATGACGAGGTTTGAAAGAAAATTCAAAAGTAGTAGTAAATAATTTAATCCTTAACAATTATTTACATAAAGATTTAATACTTAGTCAAAGGTATACTTAAAATTAGTTTGGTCATACATCACTAACCGTTGATTTCTCAGAAATCTTTCTCCGTTTAAAACATGGTTTTATCTCTATTTTGTCAAAGCCAAGGATATGTTTTATACAGATATTTTAGTCTCAGAAACACGCTGTAACAGTATATTTACGTATTATTGCAAAAAACAAATTCACAATGTAAAATTAAATTAATGTTTTTCTGCATGACAAATTTCCAGCCAACCTCATATTACTGGTGAGTAAATTTTTCGCTCGGGACACGAAATTATTGAAAAAACTCGATAAAAATGTGGATAAATGTATTGAAGCAAGTTCTAAGAATAAAGACGAATGCGCAATGGCTTCACAATTGAATGATTGTACCAATGATTTAATGGCCAGTAATAAACATAAAATACTTCTTAATTATTAAATAAACAGCTTCATACATCTGTTTTTAATTTACATTTTAATTAAGCAAGATAAAAGTAATCTGTAGACATCCCTATCTAGGTGCTAGAATCTAAAATATATTAGGTTTGACTGTATCTCAGTTAACCATGTTGAACCCGGATTGGTTTACATTTATCTTTTGTATTTCTTCATATAGTTCCGGTTGCATCACAATGTTTTATTTAAAGTACATTGCATTGAACCTACACTTGTAGAATACAAATCCATTATTTAATCACTGTACCACTGACCCTCTAAATGAAAGTACAGTCACGGAATCTGGCGGTGTTCCACTTAAAAGCTAGTTGCTTGAAAGTTTTGTACGCATTGAGACGACGACACATAAACATTAATAGGACGTAACTTTTAAATTTGTCTGTACGAAATAAAGTTGGTCAGCAGTATGCAGCTAATTGCTACTTACTATTATCCGGTCATTTACACAACTCACTTCTACCTAATTAGTTACTTGTAAGAAGGACCGGAATATGTCTTGTTGCAAGAAACAAAGTATTTTTTCTGTACTTGAAGCACTGAAGATTTCCATGACTGTACCTTACATGAAAGTATGTTTTTTTACTCTAAAGTATCTTCACTTTTGACATCACTATCATTTATAGATCTACATTGATTTAGATATGCCATTATGTCTCGACTAGCACAAGCCGCATCTACATCTCTCATGGCATTCAGTCTTTCAGTGACATGTCTACCAAAGAACCAATACTGCATATTATCTGTACATGGTTCAGAAATAGGTTTCATAGCTATTAGAAGATTGTCAATAAAGTTAACACATTTGTTTTGTTTCTTAATTATCTTAGTGGGCGATTTAAATTTTCTTCTAGGTCTGTCTGTCCGTTTGCCACGCTGTCTTATGCCAAGGTTTATCTCTTCCATGTCTGATTGCAACTCTTCTTTCATCTCAACATTGCTTAACTTTGTTTGAATTGATGAGTAATTCTGAAAAAGACACGCTTATAATGTTAAGTTATAGCAATTAAATTTTACTGGATTAAGCACTATTTATTTGGTGGATAAGTAAATGCAACATTTTTCTTTGCTTATATACCATCATTAGTTCAAATTTATCTGCCTTTAACAGAGAAAATATAATTAATATATTTAGTATATCAAATACAAAAAAAAGACTTGGCAAGACTACCATATAAAGGTCAGTTTATATGTAATCTAATCAGTAAGTACAATTGTAATAATTTCACCTCAAAATCTGTATCTTCCCTTTTTGACGTGTCTCGTAAAAACTGCAATGGTTTCCATAGTGGCCAGCATGGCACATATACTTCAGCAGATGACCTGGCAGTTTCTTTGGACTTGTCTACACGCCGAAGATTGTGATTGAAAGTACTCCTAATGTTAACCCAGCGATCTCTAACTGAACGAGCTGTAAATAAGTAACATAGGCCTTAAATAATAAACTAATATTTTTAGCTATCATAAAGATATATTACTTACCAGTGTAACCCCGACCCAACTTCGCAGCAAACTCGGCGTATGCTTTATATTTTTGTTGAATTTGATGATTCGTGTTATTAAACGGTTTCCATATAAATTCTCTTTGGCGAACAAATTCAACTAACTCTAACTCCAATTTGCGCGTCCAAAAGCATGGTTTTCGAGGCATGTTTTTGTTTATCACGTTTTGTTTTTTGTGCACAAATTCTTGATACAGTACATGTTTATATTAAAACGAAATTTTATAGGAATTTTAGATATGTGAAATGACTTTGTTTATTTTAATTTAATGTTTATTTATGTTTTTTACAAATGATGACAAATGACAATGCAAAGATTAAGTGTTGTGTGTTGTTTCAAAGAGTAGACGGAAATAATTTTTAGTTAGTCCATGTTTTTGCCAGAAAAATATCAAGCGAAATTTAGGAGAATGCCTAAAAATTCTTTTAGCGGAACACCAGAGCAGAATATGGAAGGTCATCAAAATATGGTCTGGATAGCTGTAAGGCTTACTAAAGAAAGGCTACTTTTGAAACGACCTCTACCAATAAAATTTTCGCGGTCTTGTAATTGGTATTAAAAGAGTAAATCGGATGCAACTGTAACCGAAAATACGTAGTCCAAAAATCGATAATAATAAGCTTTAAATATTTATTGCTTAAATTAATATGATGCATAGGAATACCGATATTTCTTACGACATTGACGAATCGTCTTCGATTTTCAGCAACTTCATATTTTGTCACTGTCATAATATTTACTTCAAATCAATTATCGTTTTGTAAAAAAAATTCAAATATTGGATAAAATTAGCAAATGTATAACAACATTTGCTCATTAATTTTAATAAAATTTACCAAAAATATAGAATAAACTGAAACACTCAACACTTGAAATGGGACAACCTCCAGGCAACGATATAACCATAACGGGAGTAAAAGAGGTTAGGCAGAGCCATGAAACATGGAAAGCAATGAATCGTTGTTTATTTGTCCTATTTGTTGCAGTTTTTATGCTAGTATATGTTTATTTTTCTGTTATAAATGATTTTTTTAAGGTGTTTATATTGTAAATCTAAATATCAGTTTGTAAAAATTACATGCCTTATTTTAATACATGGCTTTATAAAATGTATAGTATAAAAATTGTTTTTTTTACTATCAATTTTGTAACCAATGACCTACAAATATTGCTACATTTAAAAAAAGCTATTATGTTATCGTCAATAACCCTTTATCAATATGAAATAAAAAAAAAACAATACAACTAACAAAGATTTTTGAAGAAATGCCAATTATTTTTTTAATACCCAGAGGGGAAATTTTATTTTATTTTTCTGGTGACCCTTGTGACCACCCCTATCATCCCCCTTCTTATGTACGTAACCTTTTGGGACATCCTATATATCAGTTTAGTCATCATATTTACAAATGTTTTCTAAACAAACTCCTAACAATTCAAATCTTCAGACTGAGTTCCAAATTGTATCAGTTCTTTTAAGTCAAGATTCAAGATTATTAAAGCTTCAACTTCAAAGCGTGAAACCAATGAGCCAAGGTTTAAATTGCGTATTTGCTTTTGTTTTCTTAAAGGAGGTATTTGTTTTAAGACGTCCTTAAGATTGTATTTCCGCGGTTATCCACCGTACCTGTATAACATTCCATTCAACTGGAAAGGAGATATGTTTTGCGGCAAAATAAGTAACAAATGGAATCGTATTGCCTTATTATATTTCAGTAACAGAAACGAATGTTACCTTTGCTGTTTATCTGTGTTTATATTTGAAGTCGACACAAATATAAGAAGTAAAGATTCGTACTTTTGATACAAAGCTTCGAATCACGCTTGTCGGAAAGTTCCAATAATTTTTTTTAGGAGCGTGTACAAGGCATATTTAGCAAACTTAAATATTTAAATATAACACCATTGAAATTGTTGAAATTCTTTCAAAGCATATGTAAGTTATAAATTATTATGATAACATTTTTCTTCACCTTAAAGCTAATTCACACGAGGGTAGGAAATTGAGGCATTGCAGTTACGATTATTTCCAAAACAGTACGGTTTTGGTGTTTATGTACAAGTATTAGTACATTGCTTTTTCGCGTTGCCCACGTGTGAAATAACAGTGGACTGCATACGAGTGTCAAATGCATAAAATTTGCATTACCATCCCGATAAGAATGTAACAGCTCAACGCCACATTAGGGCTTATCGAACGCCCCCTGATGGTTTATAGTTTCCCTTTTCCCGCGTAATGGCGGCGCATTTGCCGCGGCCGGGGCTCCTGTCACATTAGTCTACCATATACAGCATTTTATTGCGAATAACTGGCCGGTTGGACATTTCTATTTTATTAAGCCATTAATTCCACTGTTATTAAAATTAGAGAAAAAAATATGTTTATTTTATTATCGGTTTTATAAATATCTCTATATCGCGCTGATAGTATCTTACCAAGTTCTTCGTTTTATTTTAAATTATTATCAATATTTTGTTCATAAAACAAAAAATATTGTGCTATCTAATATAATTACAAAGTAATGTGGAATATAAAAAAAATAACTACTGTTTTTTTATAATTTTAGACATTACCAAACCTACTCGATTAAGATAGCAATGGCTCTTAATGATAGATGAGGGACCAGCTATAGCGAGAATCAGCAGACAAACACAAGCATTGTAATTATCGATAAATACTAACTACACCCTCAGGAATCGATTTGATCATCTGCGAAATAATTGGTAAATACTCGGATGAAATTTCAGATTGCAAAATATTCTGTACGAAGTCGTAAATTATAAATTAAAGAAAATCGTAATGTATGAAATACTAGCAGTCCGACTTCGCCCGCGCGCAAATAAAAAAAAAAATTAAAAAGTAGCCTATGTGTTCACATCCATCCATCTAAACATTCGCATAGAATTAGTAGGATCACAGCTTTCCTTTTCGTTTGATCCACAAATATTAAATTCTAAAATTTGACATAGGAAGTCATGTATAAAAGAAAACAAATTAGTAAAAAAAAGTGTCATAGCTCTTTAATGATTTATGGTTTCCATAGACTATAAAAAATGCGCGCCAAATTAAATGGCGGCGTGTGTTGGCAAGATGTCAACACCACCTCGGAGTTGGGCGCGGTGATTAATGGCGGGCGGTAAACTTGTCAGACCTTGTATCGCTACATCATCGAAGAAATCTGCCTAGTCACTACACATTGCAAATGGGGTAATTGCAAATTAAACCCGCTTTTTACTCTAATTGGCGAGTTTTATGATAGAGTTTATTAAACTAGGTCTGTTACTAGCCGTTTTGTTGTATTTATATTACGTTACGTTCCAATACGAATTCGAGACGTTTTGCCCCAAACTATAAATTTTTCACGAAACCGTGAAATTTTAAAATATGTATTTCCAGTAAAACCGTTTTTCTTTCTTACATTTTACTAATATTATAAATGCGAAAGTCTAGATGCGATGGATGTTAGTTAAAAGTTATGTCCAGAACGGCTCTATGGATTTTGCTGAAATTTGGCCTATATCTAAAACATAGTCTGGAAGAACACAGAGTCTACTAATTAAGTTGTTTTATTCCGCGTGGACGCAGTCCTGGGTGAAAGTTAATATAAAATAAAATAAATTTAGCTACTCATATTTTACCATAACACTTCACTCTACCTAAAATCATAAATTACTTGAACGAAAAAGTGAAATAATAGACACAATGTGTAGAGTTTCACGTTCTTCTGTTTAATCGAGTTGGATTAAAATATGTATATGATTTTAATATGGTTTTAATGCAACTTATTCGTATTACTATACCTTTATTACTAAATTCATTATATTTAAAGTATATTCTCCAAATATAAGTCGGCATTATGTTATATAATTTGCTCCACGACCCTCAGCACATAAATAACTCCGGCGTTAGCTGTTATCTCTTTGTAACATAACTTTGCTATCGCGAAGTCAGTTTTTATGTCTTCCCCTTCCGTTTGATGCAGCCTCATTTGTTTATTCAAACGTGATTGTGCGAGCTCCTAAAGTTTTTTTTCTTTTTAGAAATATTCCTATAAAACTATAGTGGCCTGTATTTTAATCTCGGTAGTAAAGAGTTCTCTTATTATTTTTTACACAAACTACATTTTTATTCTATTTATTGTTTACTAGGTTTATTTTATTTGATCCGATATGAATTTTTAATATTTTTTGAAGAAAAAAAGGCAACAAAGGCAGTATCTTATTGATTAAACTGTCATTCAGTGGTGGTCACTTAAAAGTTAGTGAGAACGCACGTTAATCGTATTCAACGGTTAATGGAAACGCATCCTAATCTTTCCATTTTAAAACTTTATCAGTATTTTTAGACAGTATTAGTTAGAATCCTTTGGCACCAATGACGTGCTTTCGTTACAAAGTCCAGAGTCAGAATGAACAGTGAGGGGACATGAACGTCGATATTTTAGTAAGGCTAGTGTTGCGCCAATACAGCGGCAAAGTGTCGGATTTTCTTCCTAACAATATCTATAGAACTATCTATACATGTATTTCCGAATGATAAGAAAGCTATTTTCACCTTCAGAATCTCATTTTGATAAAGCTTGGAATACGTCATTCCATTTCGAAGCAGCGAACATTCCAGAACTCTATAACCATAAACATGGTGTTAAGGAAGAATAACGAAGTAGGAAAGTATCGTATTTGCATCTTCGCTGTATTTTATGTAAATCATTACAGTTAACATCGATCCAATGGTTACTTTCATCTTAGCAACGTTGCTGTTTACGATTCGAGGGGTTGTTATTTCTTATCTAAGACTTTATTTAAGATGTTAAGTGTTTTATCATTTTTTTGGTAGAAATATACAACAGTAACAGTTGTTAACCTTAATACTATAAGACAGAAATGAATAAATGACCTTGAAGAATGAGTTTGGGATTAAGTACCTTAATTACTAGATTATATGAATCATTTTCCATTGAACATTTGACTATCAGCTTGGTGAATATACATACATATTTAGCGACTTAAAACTAGACTGTTTTCCTCATAATGAGGTTAGTAGTTACACGTATGAAATGTAGAAATTAAAACATATTTCGCATGGTATCACAATGAATTTTTAATTGAAATATATTCAGTATACTTGACACCCACTATCAATAATTAGTTGGGTTCAAGTTACGTCGCCGCCGTCGCGATAATTAGTCGAATACAGGCTCAACAGCGCCGTGTCGCCCATTATTATTTGGGCTCGTTGCCCACGCTAATGAGCGCACAGAGTAATAGCTA